GGGGTGGGGGGGTGGGCACAAAGGGTGAAGGGGTGCACCTACAACACGACTGACAGACAATAATATACAAGTGAAATTTCACAAGATTGTAACCTATCATTAACTCAATAAAAAATTTAAAAAAAAAGAATTCTAAATTATGGAATTAGTGACAGATAAGGTCAGCTTCTGAAAGTAAATAAACACAAAGGAAGAAATGTGTTTATCAGAGATGTCTGTCTCAAGCAAATGTCTCCTGTGTGCGGACAGGGAGGGAGGAAGGGAATTCGAATCCTATAGGTAGTTAATCTAGATTTTCTGCCAGCGGTGTTTCACTTAGCTCCTGAGAAAGCCCTCAGGAAGCACATGTTTCAACTCCAAGGCTTATGCCGGAATCTCACAGTCTCTGTCCGACAACCAGGAGGGTGGAGCTTAAACTGTGTACTTTGTGCAGATGTACCAAACAAGAGTCATTCTTGACTCTTTCCTCTCCCTCACTCCCAAAGTGTTACAAAGTCTAGTAAATTCTACCTTAGCATGTCTTCCAAATCTACCCTTCTGCAGTTCCTTCTGCTGCGGCCTTCTAAGGTTGGAGATCAGGGATGATACCCAGTAAATCTCTGTATCCTCAGCACCTAGCCCAGTGTCTTATCAAGTATCGGTGGAACTAATGAAAGAAGGGCTTTCACTCCACAGGCTCATGGGACCGTTTACCCTCAAAGGAGATCAGGAAATAGAAAGGCAGGGAAATTACAATCTGTAGTTTTTCAAAGACAACAACAATGCACTACTGAGTGCTCTGAGGGTCTTCCTGCTGGATGAGGGGAAGAATGGTGGGCAAGCAGGCTGCAGAGGGGCTGCTGACCTAAGAGGCAGGAAAATAAGGGGAGGAGGAGGGCACACGAGTAGGGTTCACAGCGATACTATGCTAGTGAGGTCCAACGGAGCCTCAGAAATTGTTCCCACCAGACACCTGGCCCTGAGTGACAGGCGCCGCACCTTCCCTCTACCAGGGGTCTCACAGAGGAGTCGGGAGGGTTGGACCGGATGGTTTCTCTTACGCCACGCTCCAATTGTGGGATCTCAGCCAAGCCCTTCTGGGTTACAGGTGAGATCCAGAGAGGAGGGTCACTGGCCCATCACGGGCGCAGCCAGTCTGAGGCGCAGAAGCGGCTGGGGGAGCCCGAGGCACACGACTCCTGGCCCCATACTCTCACGAGCCTCCTTGCTCTCGTGGGCGGTCCCCCAGGGGACCCAGGGCTAGCCTCTACTTTCCCCACCCGGCTCACCCGCAACGACCGTCCTGACTTGGATCCTGCTCTGCAGCAGCCCTGGACTCCAGCCACCGCACAGCGCTGGCACTGGAAGGTCGCGCCCGACCCGCGGCACCCAGGTCCACCCATCCTCCAGTCCGTGAGCCCTGAGTTCTGATTGGCTCCTCGAGACCCCCCGCCACCAATCAGCGCAGACTACTGGTAGGCGAGGCTTTGTTGGAGGACGGGCATTTTCCCCGCCTCGCCCCGGATCTGCCCAGGAGGCTGCGGGGAGAAATTCAGAGACCGGGCTTCTGATTGGCTTCCTGCAATCCTGCCCCGCCTTCTCTTGGTGGTCACCTCAGTCAGAATCCGGCACATTTCCACGTAACTGGACTTCTTGTTCCTGACCCGCTCTTCGAGATTCCGCCCCGCCCCTCGGTGGGTAGCCATTTAGCAGGCTTCCGGCCCTTGAGTGGCCCGTCGTAGTTCCGCCCAGTCCACGTAGCAGTGGAGGTAGCCGTGGAGGCTTCGTGGACCGTTTTCTCGGGGTTCTAGGTGTCTAGGTAGAACTCACTTCCTCTTTTTTCCTTCCTCGCTCTCCTTCCCCCTCCTGCTGGAGGCACTTGTCCCGGAGGCCACATTTGCAAGCGCGGCCAGAGGTTGACTGGAACCCATCCTGGTCCCGGGAACTGCAAGGGTTCCGATTGGCGGTCCTGGGAGTCGGGCCTGGCTGCGTTCTGCTCCAGACCTAGCTCTCCCAGGACACTGGAAGGTTGGAATGTGAAACTGTCTTATTTATCGAATAGGTCCACACCCTCCTTGTGCTGATGAGGGTGCTGAAGTCTAGGGGGCACAGAACCTCAACCAGATCTGGTCACCCAACTTCTAGTTTAAGCTCTTGCCACAGCACCGACTTTTCTACTCTTCCAAGCCATTACGTACAATACAATAGATGTAAAGGGAGCGTGAAGGTTGCCCCACAAGGTTTCCCCGGGGGACTGAGGTAACCACATTTAGGTCTGGCGTGATGAGTGATTCACTTACACTGAGAAAGAGAGCTAGTAATTGGGTCAGAATCCTTATTTAGGTAGTGCAGTCAGTAGATTCTCTCCCTGCAGCAAAGTGTAGAAAGCACATGATTTTCAGGAGGCTGCCTGGGAATCATGGTGTAACAGCCAGGTTAGTTAGGTGATATTAAGGGTACTAGATTGATAGCTTGAAGCATGTCTGCGGCCAAGCAGAGCTTCTCTGATAGAGCTTCTCAGAGCACTTTCTACTGGAGGAGAGTTTTAGATACTATACCCACCCCTCATGTCTGCAACTTCGTCTCTATTTTAGTCAATGCATATACCCCCCACCCTCCCCACCCTCCCCACCCCTTGCCATCGGTGCTTTTCTTTATTTTTTCTTCCCTGTAGAGATGTAGCACACTCTGGTTATCAACAGTCACCTTGATTGATCAGCTTGGACGTTTCCCAAAACTTTATCAACCACCTCTTGAGGGATGCCCTCTTTTCATCCTTTAGATGTGGTTCTTACCTGTTTCACTTCTAATCTTGAAGTAGCAGGGCTGTTTTTTTTTTACAGCCTCAGGGTGACATTCTTAATATGTCTGATTCCTTTAGGTTGTCAAAGACCAACTTTGATTTGGATTTTCTGTAACCAGAATCTGACTCCTATTGGCCCCATTAGCTGCCCTCAGGCAGCTCCTGAATTCTTTCTACCCTCTCACTATTCCACCTCACACTGCTCATTTTATTGGGTGTAAGAGAACAAACATTTCTAAGGCTAATACCTGCTGCCAAATCATGTTTTTCCTCAATTGGATATCATAATGAAAAAAGCTCCACCAATCTGATAGGCAAGATAGGCAAGAAATGTCATGTCGTATTAATGTAATTTTCTTCTTTACGTGGCCACTGGGACACTAAAGTAGTGGTTCTCAAAGAATTCAGTGATCAAACATTGGAGTGAAACAAACTGATTTGCAGAGTGAGATTACAGACATGATTTTCTATTGTAAAAGTGCTGTAAGACAAAATACCCAGTAAGTTTTGATACTTCAACTATGTATTGCAAGTTATTTTAAAAGCTCAAAAGTCAGTGCCAACATCTTGTGAACACAAAATTCAGTGACAACACAATTGTCATTATACAAGTAAATTTTGTGGGGATTACATATACATCTGCTTTTGCAATAGCTGTTCGATTTTTGAAGAATACTCAATACAAGCTTTACCGTCTGATATTTTGGAAAACTTAGCCAAACAACTTACATCACATCAAAACAAACTAAAGCTAAACTAATTTATAATTAAAGACAGACAAATTGGCATCAAGTGAAAACTACAAGTAACAAAATGCAACACTGATGATGCACTAAGTTTCCTCAAAAACTCTGGGTATTGAAACTGTCAGCATGTGCGGGTGTTGCTATCAGCCTTTGTAATACAAACTTCTTACAATACTGAATTGGAATCCTTAGAAAACTCTTACCAGTTTTGATTTATGAACACCAAATTTTAATAAACTTTAACCACTTATTTAGGTTGCTATTAAGAGTGAGAGAAAGGGCGGATGTTTTTAGATCAGTGGACAGCCGCCTATGTTTATAAAACATTAGAGATGAGGCTGTGTTCCTGGCTTCCAGCTCTGGATGACTTGCTTCATGGGAGCACTAATGAACAGCCAGCAGAGGGGGTGCACCATTCAGCTGGTCCTAAAGCATAGAGGTTGATGAAAACACGGCACCTCCATCCTGCATCATCAAAAAGGGCCATTTCCTCCTGAAAGACAAAACTCAAAGCAGGAGACCACCAATTCAGTCCTAAGTGTTCACTTTGACATAAATTACCTCCATAATAAAAGATCTATATATGGAGGTTATGTGTAACTTGTAGGGGGGCCCAACTTATTCATTAAATATGTATTGAATGTTTAGTTGTACCAAAGTGCTTTAAGAGGCATAGACAAATTAGGGAGAACCAGAATCAGCAGGTATAAACTACAAGGACAGACTTCAGCTTGAAATAAAGTCAAAACTTCAGTCAACAGGTTGGGTTGCCAGGATGGGAGCACAGTAGACAGTCTCCATCTCTGGAATGTTCAAGAAAAGCTTGCCCAGTTAGATGTTGTTTGTACAAGAGATCCTGCTTTGGGTGAAAGATTAGTTGTTTTAACTCTAAAATGTGACTCCATGACTCTAAGTACCTGTTAGAACAATCCATGAATCAAGTTCAACTTTTTGTTTCCTCCAGGCCATCCCTATTGCAAACTTTTATCCTGGGTTTCATTCTCATTGGCCCTAGAACAGAAAGGAACCTCCAGATATAAGGATGAGAATGATCATGGTCCACATTTTGGCAGTTATATTTGGAATAACTAATGTCTGAATATTTAGATAACATGTTTGAAGAGAAACTTCTGGATGGCATCCTATTTCTTTTTAAGTTATGATGTTTTCTTTTCAACTACCACAAAGTATTTTATAACAAGAGTCAAATATGTGATAATACAATTTTCTTTATTAAAAATAATTTACAGCATCAATAACATATACACAATTGTCATCAACTGAACTTTGCCTCCAATATATTTCTATACAATACTTAATATTATTGAACTTAAAACTGTTACACTGTGTTGTTGGCTTTAACTATTAGACAATGATTTAGTTACTTAAGTGAGACATACAGTTTCATAGTCACACATTATGTGTAAAATTGATAGAAACATCGGCACTATCACACTCTAGGGGAAGAAGCCACTGAAGAAAGCCTAAGTCCATCTCCTTCCCCTCTCTTTTGTTACTCCAAATCAAACTAAGATAGAGTGAACCTCCAGTATCTTAGTGCCGTCTCCTAAACCTAAAGGCAAAAAAGAAAGGTGTCTTAATTCAACCATAGAAAAATGTCAGTCAAAATAATTTCTCCTCATCCTGTCACTCATCAGAGAAGGCGAATGCACACAACACTGTTACCATATATGCAAACAACTATGACTCTGATTTAGGTCTTAGCTGTACTTTTTTCCCTTAGTACCACTGAAGTTTGATGACCAGTGAAAAACTGAGCAATCTGGCTAAACAGATTCTGATTCCTCTCATTCAAATGTCAGCTTGGAGATAAAAGAGGAAATGACAACTGTCATCTTGGAAACCTTTTAAGTGTACTAATGGCAATTCAGTGGTTGGATGACATTTTCACTGGTTTCATTTTATAGGAGTAGCAAAACCCAAGGCATGAAATATGGTAATTGGTAACAATGGTTTTTAAAAGATAAACAAAAAATGCTGCTGTTGATAATGACCTTTGAAATTATACTTTAAATTCACAACACTGATTTGCTTCTCTCATGTGCCTATTATACTTCCTTTCCATGATATTTGTGTGTTTTTATAAACACAAAATTACCCAGATATAGTCAACAAAGGAGAAAAGTAAAACAATAAAAACCAACAGATGCCACATTATTGCAAACAGAGAATTTGGCTAGAGGCAGAATTCTAAGGTACACACTAGAACATAACATCCATGACTCTCCTCCTCAGTTGACAACTATGCTTATCGAGCTTTTTGGATCACTGTATATGAGAGATTAAGAGGACCTTGATTTTATTCCTGAAACACAAGATTTGCTTGTACTATTACTGGACTAGGTAGACTGGAAAATTAAATGCTTAATTCATAGCTGGCTTGCTTTAGCATCTTCATCTCCTGGATCAGCCGTTTATGATGATGCCCACTCTTCAGCCCAAAGGCTACATGTTATAGTATGACTTAAAAATAATACAGATGTTTCCCACACACATACAATCTGGAATTATCATTTCTTCAAAGCATATAACAGATATTTTAACATTCAACTTGTAAATTCTCCCTCCCTACCTCATGTTTTCATGTAAATCAAGAACACATGCACTGACATATACACAGCATAATATCAAAAAACACAATATGATTTGAAAGTACCAAAGAAAATATTTATAAAAAACTTAAAGAAGGGAAATCATTTTGTCAAACTCTAGTCCATCTAATTGTCTAAGCACATATTTGCAGAATATTTTCACAAGATTGTATAACTGCTATGTGCAAAGTTCTCAGTGGTCTTTACCCACTGGTTTGGTAGTTTCAGCATTTTAGCTTAAAACAAACAATTCTTTATTCTGTGCAATGTGAGCTAATTCTGAATCACAGTAACTTAACTAGGTCATATGAAGATTTCCATGTGAGAAAAAAAAATAAAAATTAACCTTTTGGCTGCTAAGTTTAATTTCTTAATTTAAAAAACAAACAGGTATAGGTCTTTCTGGAATTAGTTATCCAACCTTTTTCTTAAAAGTTGCCAAACTTCTTGTTGCCAGAACATTTGATGTGGTCAACAGACATGATATAGAGAAAATATGGTACTCAGACAGTAGCAATTTAACTGTTTTATCCTGATGGTCAGCTTTGGTTAAAACAAAAACATAACAAAATTAATAGAATCATGCATCCTAGATAAAACAATGATTCAAAATGACAGGAAATCTATTTAAATAATTAAGAAGTAACCAACATTTAAAAAAATGCTTAGGGTTGAGGAACCACATAATTTAGGGTGGATAAAAGTCTAGAGGAAAATCACTTTAGTGATTAATGATTAAATAAAGTTCTCTTTAGCGACTATAAATGAATGTGGAATTTTGGTTAATGAAACCTAAAATATAAAGTTACAGTATCACATAAGGTGAGCAAAATAGTCTAATCCAATTAATATAATGCCATCTGAGGCTTGCCAGAGAGGGTCACAGTAGCAAATTACCGAAAACTTAAGGGCTGCATATGTGATACATATTTCTACTGTTAATACATGGTGCTACACAATCAGCTGTATTCTGTGATAAATGGTCCATCTTCAGATGAGGAGGAAACCTTGGCTGGATTGGAGAAAATGATTGTGTCTGGGGCAGGTTCCATCCCTTGCACTTAGGCTGAGACTGAGGATAACCCTGGCTTATATTACAAACTAAGAATGCCAACTATGTCCAGCTCCATGTTGAAAAGGAATGAATACATCTGAAAGCCCATTTATAAATCAGATTTGAACTTACACAATTTCAGAGTCTAATCTGGCTTCTTATATTTCAATCTGCTACTCTTAAACCAACAAACAGCAGTATACAGTTTTATAGGTGCAAAACTAAATAGATGACTTCAGGAAGGTTATTCATATAAGAATCTTCAACACAAATTCAAATTCTGCCTTTATTTACAAAATGGTCTGATAAAATACCCTCCCCCCCATACTTACAGGTCTCATCCACAACACACTTTACACGTTGATTTTAGCAATGTTAATAGCACCATTCGTATATTATTTAAAATCAAGAAGATTTCATTTCAGTCACTGCGTTGATTCATAATCATTTACACCCATGGATGAGATAAGAGAGCATACTGGGACCATCTGCAGCTCCATGGTAAGGATTCCTGGGTCCAGCACACAAGGCTTTGTTTACAGTTACGACTTATGAAAGGTATCCTTAGTGAGTAGATACTATGAGAATTTTCGTGCCACAAAGTTTAGTAATCCTCCATGTTTGTACAATGTTATTTCCACATCATTTTCAAACGAAGCAATCACGCTGAATACTTTTCCAGTGCTTGTCTTTAAACAAACAAAAACATCTCATATGAGTGATAAAATCCTCAAAGTGTTACTTAGTGCTAAGACCATTTGTCTTCATATACAATGACTATATCTGAATATGACTATACACATTCTGTCTGAGAAACCTTTCTCCTGCTTGGAAAATAACCGAGACACCTAAACATGGGCTTCATAGCTAAGTAGAAAAACAGGTATTTTGATCCCTAATTCTAAATGACAAATATTTTATCACCTACAACACTAAATCAAATGATTTAGATTTTGACTTAGGGAAGTTACACTCACTACTAATGTTCATTTCACATTAAATATTCATTGCATATAATATCTGCTACTCTTTTCCTTTTTTTCCTTAGTTGTAGAGTCTGTATTACCCTAATCTTGAATGCTCAACTTTGCCTTCTCTTTGGAGTGATATATATGCCTGGATTAAAATTAGATTGGGATAGAAAGAGCTGATAACTAGGAAAAGGAAGTTGACAAATATAAGTGGAAGTTCAAATGCTTTCTTTTTTCTGGACTGAAGTATCCAGTACTTTCTACTTTTCTTCAGAGAACATCAACTGTATTAACATTGGTTTAAGTACACAGGAAACAGCCATCTTAAACTACAACTGATGTTCACTAACTGACATTAGTATGCAATTTATACTAAGTGGTTTTTATTTAATTTACAACCATCTATTTGAGTATATAGTACACAATCATATATTTGAGAATTTAAAGATACCTTCATATTTAATGTAATTCCAGGAGACAATTCTTCAGGAAATTTTAAAGAAAATGTTTCTCTGCCAGAGAGGCCCAAGGAATCTGCATTTTCTCCTGGAAGGAACTGAAGCGGAGCTATGCCAATTCCAATCAAATGATCTTTGTGAATTTTTTCATAACTTTCAGCCAAAACAGCTTTCACACCCTGCAACAAATGTGCATTTTATTTCTTCCAATCATTTCTGAAAGTTCATTTAGCATTTTAAAGGGAAAAATTTTACTTTTGGCCTGTCTATAAACACTTTTAATCTAATGTCCCATATACTAAGGGTCAATGTTGTATCGAAGTAGTTCAGAAGCCTTAACTTTTTCTCTATTTTTAAGTAGCTCCCTAACTTATTCTAATTGCCCCTCTGCCACTCCTGCGTTAAGTACTGCCAGTGCCTACCACACAGTAAGAGCTCTATACATGGGGGCAGCTGCTTGGACCTCAAATAGGGTTCAGGTGGATTTCTGTTTAATTATGGTGGACCTAACATATGTGTTCATCAGCACTCTCTCTTAAAATGCCAATAAAATAAAGGAAGAAAAATGGCATAACCCCATAGCAACAAAGGAACGAGTGAATTCTATAAATACTCAGAAGATAGAGAAGATAGAGATAAGTAACTGACTTAGCAGACAATGTTGAAACTACAGAATGATAAACAGAAATTAGAGAGTGATACCAATAAGGTTTGAGTCAATCTGCAACAAAGAACCCAGAAAAGGCTTGAGACTTAGAGGCATGAGTGTTCCAGAACACTGAAGTACTAGCTAGGAATCTATACAAAGCAGTAAGATCTCCCACTCAGTTCCCACTCAACCCTCCACTCCAGAAGAGTGAAAGTTTACTCTCTGGAGAAAATAAGCTAGAAAGGCTCTAGATCCATGTTTCTCAGTTTTTTTCCATTATTGCCTCCTAAGGAGCATTTTTTTAGACATTTTCCCCCTAATCACAGCCTCCATTTCACTGCCCACCTCCAAAAATTTAATACCACAAATATACTGTATATCTGTTTATGTACTAAATGTACATCTGTACGTTATACATAACAAGAGTATGATTTTTTCAACACCCGAGAACCATTTTTCACCCCTTGGGAGTGCCATCACTCTGCTGAGAATGGAGGCTCTAGACTGAGGAGCACTGGGAACAGGGGAAGGCTGCGGTGAGAATACACTGGACTCAAGGAGATTAAGGTCACGTCTGTGTCCTGAATGGGTCTCCTTCCTTGAAGAAACTGAATGGCCTCAGAAAATACTTAACAGATACTGACATACAGGGCTCTCTCAATGAAAAAGGTAGCTTGACATCCAATCACCTACATTAAGGCCTGGTAACTGACAAAACCCAGCCCACATCCACAGCTTGTAATAAGTTTTTAACCTTTAACTGAATGGCGAGCCAAGGATGACCAACAATATGAGGAAAGCCTTCCCCATAGGAAACAAAGACTAAATAACTTTCAGAAAAAAGGGGACCTATACCTATAATTAATATTCACAATACTTAAGATTAGTATCTTAGAAAGATGAGAAAATGCAGCTTATTCCTACAACTCCTTAAGGTATTAGCATTTTAAGGGGGGAGATTAAGATTCAAAAAGAATGAAGTTCGTATGAGGGTTGTGTTTTGGCCAGCCTTTTTCCAAGTACACAACTGTAAAGATGCAGTTGTGTAAGTAAGAGATGGCAGAAGGTGCCTGTCATATGACTATTCTCTCTAGCAGGTCTCCTATTCGCTCTTCAAAAGAAATAGTCTCAAGAGAAATGTCTCCCAAACAGCCAGGCACCATCATCTCCTACCTGGAAAAAAAGAAAGTAAAACCTGGCCCATTATCTCTGAATCTGTTAACCCTTGATGAGGCAAATCAGAAAAAATGAAATAAAAAGGGGTTGAGTAAAACTACCAATGAGTACAAATAATAATTATTTTAAAGCAATAATTTAAGACAGAATCTCCTTTCCCTCTACCATATTGATTTCCTCAAATAAGAAAAGATTGATGTAGGTTTAATCAAATTCAGAACATTAAAATGCAATTAGATTAGTACAAAATATTATATAAGATCACTTTCAAAAACCCCACAAATATGAGATCCAAATAAGCATAAAAAAATCCAAATGAGTAGAAAAAAACTTTGATAGGATGTTGCTGACAAAGGGAATATTTAAAATGCTTTGAAGTTTAAGAAAACAAAATTTAAGAATTGATACCAGCAAATATGGTCCTTTCGCAGCCCAGTCTCTTGAATTTCCTGAACCATATTTCTTTCCTGCTAAAATAATCAGTGGGATACCTTCTTTCTGATACAGCTCTGCGGCCTCAAATACATCTAGCTGTAGATCAAAACAAACACAAAGATCTTTAATACAAGTTTTTATCTAGTTAGCAAGTGCCTAAATACTTTGTATATACATCCTTACCGTCTGTCCTGATGGAAAATGAATTGTTTTAGGAGCTGGTTTTCCAATAAACTTATTGAACAGCTTGATATTTGCAAAAGTGCCTCTTGTCATCACAGCATCATTACCTCTTCGGGCTCCGTAAGAGTTGAATTCACGAGGGGTAAGGCTACAAGAAAGTTATGAAAGTCAGTTTTCATTTCAGATGGCAAATAATCACACATTATTGAATTGTAAAACTTATTAAAAAGCATGTTTTTATTATGGAAAATTTCAAGTGTGTACAAAAGCAGAGAAAACAAAAGAGTGAATGCCTAGGTGTCTATCATGAAGCTGTAACAATCAACTCATGGACTGTTTCTTCTATAATCATCTCCTATTAGATTATTTTGAAGCAAACTCATATATCATATTTTAACTGTATTTCAGTATGTTAATGGTATTCAAAATGTTAACATATTTCACTATGTTTCTCTACAAAATATGGACTCTTAAAAAATACTATCTTGATACCAAAAGAGAAAGAAATCACTATTTCTTAATATCAGGTAGCCAGTCAATATTCAAATGTTCCTGATATGCCCCATACTTTTGTTGATTTGTTCAAATTGGGATCCACATATGGTTCATAAATTCATTCAGTTGATCTCAAGTCTCTCTCTCTCTTTTTTTAAAGATTTTATTTTTTCTTTTTCTCCCCAAAGCCCCCCGGTACATATTTGTATATTCTTCGTTGTGGGTTCTTCTAGTTGTGGCATGTGGGACGCTGCCTCAGCGTGGTTTGATGAGCAGTGCCATGTCCGCGCCCAGGATTCGAACCAACGAAACACTGGGCCGCCTGCAGTGGAGCGCGCGAACTTAACCACTCGGCCATGGGGCCAGCCCCTCAAGTCTCTTTTAATTTATATGTGCCCTCTCCCTTTTTGTCCCTGCTTATACTTTATCTGAAGAAACTGTCATTTGTTGTATAGATTGTGCTGATTGCATTTCCATGGTGTCAAATGTTGTTCTGTCCCCTTTATTTCTTGTAAACCAGATGTCAAATCTAGTGGCTTTGTAAGATTCTGGTTTTTAATTTTTTGCCACAATGCTTCCTAGATCGTACTTCCATCAGGAGCACACAATATCCAGTTGTCTCTTTCTGGAATGTTAGCAGCAATTGATCATCATTGTCTAGACTGATTTTTCATTAGGGATTGCAAAATGGTGATCCTCTAGTTCTATCATTTTTTCTTCATTTTTTAGCTGGAAAACTTCTATAAAGACAAACATTTCTTCATTAATGATTTGTTATGTTGAAATATACTCCATACAGGAAAGGCTCTTGACTTGACTGTGAAATAAGGAGATGGTTCCCTATCATCTTCCAAAGGCAACTTGGTTTTTTTATCCTTTTATTATTATGAACCCATGGATTTAAATATATTATGTTTCAATCCATTCCAGTTATTATTCTTCATCGATGCTCAACACATTCCATCTCTGAACAGTGACTGGTTCAAGCTGGCTCCTGAGACCTTTTCACAAAAGCTTGATAGTCTCTGATCTCTTTTGCTTTTGGTACAAGATGTCTAGAATCATCTTGTACATTTCCCAGTCCCAAATCTAGAATCAATCATTTTTCCAGAAGCTTGTACTGGGAAATGGTATTTAGACACCATAATCTGGATGCTTCAAGTGTCAATGCTGCTATCTTGGTCACTATATAAGTGACTTTTTAGGGACAAGAAACAACTAAGCATAAGCATTTCAACGATCAACAACCAACTTTTATCAGCCTCTAATTCGGTCTTTTATGTAGAGGAAACAAATATTCTAAACTGTACTAAACTTCTTACTTCAGAATGGGGGTGGTGGGAGGTTTGAGCATCTTTATTTAAAAAAATATTCTAACTGATGAGAACTACTGGATTAAATGTGCTAAGAAATCCATATCAGAAATAATAATAAATACAAAGTGACTTTTTTTTTGGTGAAAACTATGTCGTGATTATGACCAAGGTGGAAATTGTGGCCAAAAATTATCTGGAAGAAGGAAAAATTATTTTATTTCTCACCACTATAAATAAAAGCCATGTGTATAACAAACTGATTCATCTTCCTCAAGTTATACTAAAGAACTGCTATTAGCAATTTCTACCAAAAAGTGTTTTAATTTATATCAAACTAGTTAACTAGAAAATAAACTGAAAAACAAATTTCATAATAGCACTAATGAGATTACAGTAAGAACTATACAGTATTATTACACGTCAAACCAAGCTATATAACACTGATTTTTATAAGATATTTCAATGAAAACTCTCGTTATTTGAATAGTGCAAGCATTCAAAAGCTAATCAGGCAGCAGTACCACAAATTCTGCCTTTAGCAAAACTTTGTCTCTGCTGTCAAAATAGTTCTTTGATAATAGAGCAACTCTACATTATTAATCATGTAGAAACGAAATAAAATATTTCTAGTTTTAAATTTGTATCTCCTATATAAATGGTTTTTACATTCACATTTATTATTATTGTAAAATTTTAGGCTTAAGAAGATGAAATTCATTGTCATTGATTTGATACAAATGAAACCTAGCCTCAAGCAAGTACACTTTATAGCCCACAAAATATTTAAATTTCACACCCCAACAATGGGAGGATAGTTAGAACCAACTGATCAGCATTTATTTCATAAGTCAAACCAACCTAACTTTTCAACAAAGTAGCATTGAAAAAGAAAAATCTTGGGACTGGCCCAGTGGCATAGCAGTTAACTTCGCATGTTCAGCTTTAGCGGCCTGGGGTTTGCCGGTTCCGATCCCAGGTGTGGAGCTATGCACCACTTGCCAAGCCATGCTGTGGCAGGCATCCCATATAAAACAGAGGAAGATGGGCACAGACGTTAGCTCAGGGCTCATCTTCCTCAAAAGAAGAAGAAGAAGAAGAAGAAAAAAAAAAAACTTGTTTCCAAACAGTTGTTTATCTAGACTATAGGAGTCAATTTAAAATAGCAATTTCAGTTTCTAAAGTTATAAACAAAGGCAGGTACAACCAGTACCCCAGGTATTGCTTAAGTCAAATATGCTGACAATTAGACGCCTATGATAGTGTGTATTTATTGGATAAAGGAATATGATCAGTAGAAACCTCTTAATCAGTGAGAAAGAAGATAAAGACACCTTAAAACCATGTAGACATACCCTCTGTTTGTCAAATACTTAGCAGCAGCACTACTCCTAGCAATGCTTCCAGCAGGTGATATATGGTCTGTTGTGACAGAGTCTCCCAGGTATAACAAGACATGGGCATTTTCAATGGGCTGGGGTGCAACTGGCTCTTTGGTCTAAAAAGTAAAAAAAAAAAAAAAAAAAAAAATTGAAAGCATTTAACTCTTCATGAGATTTTTTAGTTTATGATAATCTTTAAAAGATCAAATAGTAAAACAGTACTTACAAGCTTATCAAAAAATGAAGGACATCTGATGTAAGTAGACTTTAAGTCCCACGGAAACAAAACCGAATCTGGTGCTTCTAAGGAATTCCAACGTTTATTTCCCATCTGTGAATATGGTTTTGGTTGACGAACCAGAAGAAAGATAAAATGGAGTCAGAATAATAGGCTTATGAAAATGATCAAGGGAATAAAACAGTACTTAGGTTAGAATGAAAAACAAAAAAAAAGCCTTATCTATTTGAAAAGAAAGCTAAGATACTGCATTCTATAAAATCATGACATTTTTGGACAGAATGAATAAAGATTTGCTTATCAAATTAAAGCACACCAGATTCTAGGAACACCCTAACAGTTAATTTTCAATATAAATTGAACATAAAAGATTTTATAGAATCCAAAAAAAGTTAAAGAATTTAGAAAGATCTATACATGTTGTTATTAAGTGTGTTCCGGGGTATAGTGTTAACTTTTAAGAATATTATCATGGAGGAAAACTTCTGCTTTTTTCAATATATGTGTCCCACATCACTGTGTATTAGTCCTGCCTTAAAATTACGTTCAAAATCTCACCATTCCTCACCTATGTCCACACTACCCCAATGGTCCATGCCATTACTATCTCTTACTGTGGACTACCACAATTGGTCTTGCTGATTCTATCCTTCTTACCCAGCCCTCTCCCCCAATATATTTTCAATATAAAGATTGTTCAAAACCTTCCAATTGCTCCCCATCTCACTCCACTCAGAGTAAAAGACTAAATCTGTATAACGGTCTAAAGTTCACTATGTAATCTGGACCTCCATTTCTCTCTGCTATCATTTCCTACCACCATCCTTCTTATTTCCTCTGCTCCAGCCACAATGCCCTCATTAAGGTTCCTTCCAGAAGGCCTTTACACCGCTCCCTCTACCTGAAAAGTCCTGCTCTTTGTCCAGATACACGGCTAACTTGTTCACTTCCTTCAAAACTTTGCTCAAATGTCATGTTTTCAACCATCCTATATAAAACTGGAATCTACTCCCAAATTTTGCACAATTCCTTCTCTTTACCTTGGTCTATATTTTTCCATAGCACTTGTCACTTTTTAACACATTGTATACTTTACCTAATTATTCTGTTTACAGTTTACTATCTGCCTCTCTCCAGGAGAATTTTTCTACTGTTTTGTTCACTGACACATTCCAAACACCGAGAAGAGTGCCTGGCAGATAGCAGGGGCTCAATAAATATTTGTTAAGTAAATAAATACTTCTTCTGCCCTCACGTTTATATTCTCTGTTTTTTTTAAAAAAAGCATGAATATATATATTTAGCTTGAATGTGCATAAAATATCTCTGGAAAGATGCTTAACAAACTAACACCATTGGTTGCCTCTAAGGAGGTGGAGGAGATGGCTAGGAATGGGTGAGAGGGAGATTTCATTGTTTGCTCTTATTTCTTTTGGATTTTGAACCATTTGAATGGGAGTGACAAACAAGGGTAGTTTCTATGAAATGTGCTCATATTCAGGATGCCAAATATAAATGCTTGCTATACATTTCTAATAAGTAAATAAAATCAATTCTAATGCTCTAAGCTATTCTCTTAGATATTGGAGATTCCAGATACAAAATGACTATCACTCATTGCAAACTGTGTATTTAAAATACATTTTTATTCCATTCAGAAAGCAAGATGCAGGAAACAAAGAAACACAGCCACTTTATTAAACTAAGAAAGAAATAAGACTCTTACCTCTATTTTCTCTTTTAATGCTTTAAACATGGATAATATAACAAGTTCTTCCTCTATCTGATGAACTTCTTCTCGACTAGGCCAAATATCATGCAGGTAAATGTTCTTGCCAGTAGAGTCAGTACCTGGTTAAAAAAAATCTTAATTTGATATTTAGTATAAAAAATAATTCCCTCAAGATGTGAACATCTTTTCAAAAACATATCATACAAACCAAGTAAATTATACAACAACAGAGTGCTACAGGCTTAAGCAGCTGGAAGAACTAATTTCTTGAACATTTTATATTCTTCACATGAATACAGAAATTAGTACCTAAACATTATAATAAGATTTCCTGAAATAATTTAAAGAATGAATGGTCTAAGAAGCACTTCAAAAATACAACAACTTTTGGGGGGAAAAATGTGTGCAGATGTATATGTATATATATATATAAAGGAAAAGATACCTAAAGGCTCTGTCTGGAAATCTATATTCACTGTGCCTGCTATGGCATAAGCTACCACTAAGGGTGGAGAGGCAAGATAATTGGCACGAACACAATCACAAAGACGACCTTCAAAATTTTTGTTTCCAGATAAAACTCCACAAGTAACCAAATCACCCTGAAAAAAAATACACACAAATTTATTCAACTCAAGAGGTGATACAGATTTGGATAATCATATATAAGCAATCTCAAATATTACATTTCTGAGGGCAAGATAACCAAAAAAGCATATAATCAATTATTAGGTATAGAACTATCAATCCTATAAATAAACTAATTCCTTATATTATTAGCTAATTATTTCAAAAATCTAAAAATGATCATTTTAAGATTGACAGGTTACTCTTCCCAAGAGGTGCAAGCACTACAGAAATACAAATATATCAATAAACAGCTTCTATAATTTTTTTTTTTTTTTGAGGAAGATTAGCCCTGAGCTAACATCTGTCACCAATCCTCCTCTTTTTGCTGAGGAAGCCTAGCCCTGAGCTAATGTCCATGCCCATCTTCCTCTACTTGATATGTGGGACACCTACCAGAGCACGGCTTGCCAAATGGTGCCATGCCCGCACCCGGGATCCGAACCGGCAAACCCCAGGCAGCCGAAGCAGAACATGCGTACTTAACTGCTGCACTACCAGGCCGGCCCCCACACCTTCTAAAATTTAATAGTAAAATATAGTTAAGAAAACCCATTTGGATGTCTTACTGAGCCACACAGTTTACCTGTTTTACTGCATTTAAAACTGCTTCTGATAAGGGTGCTGTATTTCCCACACATGTTGAACATCCATAGCCAACTACTTCAAATCTGCATTTCAAAAAATAAGTGTGATTGGACAGAACATCAAAATATTTGTAAAGACAAGTCTTATCTTTCATTTCCATCACTGTGCTAAGAGTACTTAAGAATATTTATGACACATGGATTAATCTTCATCAATATGTTCATTTCACAGCTTTTGAGCAATCAAGTCTGACTCTCAGGCATGCTATTTGTACTGAAAGCAAAACTCTGAAGAGCCTTAATACTTAGCATGTTCCCTAGTTAGATTTGGTTAACTAAATCTGACATAGCATCCATCACACTCCACAAGAAAATTCGTCAACTACTACTTGTTAGGAATACAACATGACCATTTGAAACATTGATATTATACTTCCATCCAAAGGGGTTTAAACTGCAAAGTATCAAGAGGATCGGGCTATAACAATCTGACCAAAGGCCCCCAAAGAGGTATTGTAATTGGGTACTCTGATGGGAGTAAATCTTTCAATTCCCAACCAATTAAACCCAAGAATAGTCCCTGAAAAAATTCCAAAACAATATAACTAAAAAATTACAGGTATAATCCTCGAAATTATTTTCAGCTGCTCTTCCAAAAGCAAAGAAAAAATCTAAAATTTACCAGGCTTGCAAAGGAACTGATGATTTATGTAAGATAATATGTCCCAAAATACACACTGAAAACCCCGCTAGCATCAATTATTTTTTAAGTACATAAGAAATATAAAAGTTACTTTCCTCAAAGTTCAGGGACAACTTAACCTAGGCTTAACAGACCCAATAACCTCAAAAAACTTCAATTAAGACAACTTACTCAGTTAGTAATGCAACCTATGAGATTTCACTCATTTCTGAAAACTGATCTATAAAATTCATGAAAATTATGCACTACTTCGTACCATCCCTCTACAGTCTCCGTCACTGTTATCTGGTTTTACTTGTTTGTCTTGTTTCTCCATTCTCAAACTAGAGATCACATCTCCCACTTCTCTGCAGCCAACACATTGCCTTGCTCACTGAACACACCCAAGAAACATTTGTTGAGTGATAAGGCCTGAGATTGTGTGGTAATGGCAAGGTAACAAGGAGAACTAAAGCATATTTTTCCCATCTTCTCTTTGTACATCAAAGGTCCTAACAAGCAGCTTCAATCATACCAATGTCATTATAAATAGTGATAACTGTCACTTACCCGAGCTTACTCAGATATGGTAACACTCCACTCGAACTGAGGTAATGTGTAACCATCCCACTGCCTGGAGATAAGCTTGTTCTTATGTAAGGTTTAACATGCAGACCAGCTTCAACAGCTTTTTTGGCCAAAAGACCTGCACAATAAACAAACAATGATTTATTATGGCATTATTTCTTTCCCTCATATTAAAGTAGGAAGCAAGAAAGGGTTTATTTAACAGGTTGATCTCCAATCCATGTTAGGGTAAAAGTCCAAACTCAAAATGTCATTATTTTGCCCATTTTATTCTACTGATCTGTTTCATTTAAAACAAAGAAATTGTAGTAGATATACTACCGTTTACATTAAAATATTAAGGTACAGCTGGACATCATGGCAACGTGCACACAAATGGAAAAAAAAAGGCTATATAATATCATGCACACATATAATAGACATCATTACTGAACCATTTTAAATGCCATAATAAACTACAAACAATTTAACATTTATTATACATTTTATACAATTAATGAATTGTTCCATGTACATACAATTGATTTCATTTACAACTCTTGTCAATAATCTTTTACTTCCTTTATACTCTCAATGGAATCTAGCACACTATGAGAAACTTCTAGTAGATTACCAAGAATTTTGCTAATTAACTATACTTCTAAATTAACAGAAGCAGATACAACCTAAAAGTCTCAGAAAGTCTCTCAATATCAAACATAGACACTCACTCATGCATAATCCAAGAAAAATAAAGTGAACATAACAGAAAAGTAAAAAATAATTTAGAGAAAGAAAATCTATGGTCATAAACCACAACCTACCTGCAGCAAGCATGACAGATGGATTGCAGTTATTGGTACAACTGATAACTGCAGCAATGACCACAGATCCATGAGACAGCTTATATTCACTTCCTTCATAATGAAGAGAGACAGTATCGCTTTGCTTTTCAGCTGCAATTTGGAAGCCTTTAAATCCAACCTATACAAATGTGCACATAAATATAAACTAAGTATTCTGGATATGTATAGAAAAAAAGACTGTTAGAAAATACAGCAGATCCTTGACATTTGATGATTTAACACTCAAAGTTCTGACTATTTGGAAGTGATATTGACGGTCTATGACATTCAGTAGCTGTAATTCAGATGAAGCATAATTTGAACAGTCACGAAAGGAGTCTGGTGGTGTTCATAAGCTTTTATCTACTGAGTGAGTCCACCCAACTACCCAGGATCTAGATCTTATCTGGCTTTGTTCTCTACTCATCCCTGCTTACAGTAATTCTCAAGAGATGGTATAAACTTTTTCTTTGTTAAAAATGGCCCTAGAGGGGCTGGCCCCGTGGCCGAGTGGTTAAGTCTGTGCGCTCCGCTGCAGGCGGCCCAGTGTTTCGTTGGTTCGAATCCTGGGCACGGACATGGCACTGCTCATCAGACCATGCTGAGGCAGCGTCCCACATGCTACAACTAGAAGGACCCACAATGAAGAATATGCAACTATGTACTGGGGGGCTTTGGGGAGAAAAAGGAAAAAATAAAATCTTTAAAAAAAAAAAAAAATGGCCCTAGAGACTTGCTTCAACAAGATCCTGTGTGTGTGTAGAACAGATGAAGCAAGACTAGCTATGAGTTGGTAACTGCTGAAGTGAGATACATAGGAATTCATTACACTATTTCACTCCTGCACAAGTTTAACATTTTTCACATTAAAAAAAATCAAGAAGTTACAGAAAGAAAGGCTCTGAAAAAAGAAACCAGCTACTAGTTTTCAGAACAGAGAAAAAGACAAGATTGAAGCCGTGATTCTTAGACAGAAAGTACAAACCCCAAAAGTCAAAGAGGTCTCTTGTTATTCTGTTACATTTACCAGATTTTCTGAGACTAATTACACAGTATGGACTTTTATCCTAGTCTGGAAAGTAACAAAATTCTAGAACAGTGCTGTTCAATAGAACTTTTTGTGATGACAGAAATATTCAATATCTATGCTGTCCAATACAAGAGCCATACCCACAAGTAGCTACTCAAGCACTTGAGATGAGGCTATTGTGGCTAAGAAACTCAATTTTTAACTTTAATTTAAACAGACACAATCAACCTCTGACCCTCACAGTGGACCTGGGAATAAGCTTTCCAAATTGCTGACTTGTACTTTGCACAGAAGGAAAAAGAGGAGGCTGCTGGTATGTGCCGTAACATACAAAAATATCACAGGAGATTGAGTTTATGGGTCACCCTGTTCTTTATTGCTTAATTAGCACAAAGTGTATTGACAAATAAAGATAACAAGAGGTAATGTACCTTTTCATTTAAGCAAGCTTGGAAATCATTTTTCATATCTGTCACAGCAACTCTATCCTGAGGTCGTTTTGGACCACTGACAGATGGGACTATTGAATTCAGATTAATTTGAATCACCTAGGAAATGAGAGACAAGAGGAAAAAAAGGAACAGAATTTTTAAGTAGAGATTCCAATTTAAGAACTACTTTCTGAAGCAGAATGAAGATATTTGCATTTATTTTAATGCAATTTAATGGTGAAATACACACCCAGAAATAAAGATTTTAAAACTCCATTTAATTTATGAAATAAAATATTAAAAAATTAGCTAAAAGCAAGACTAGCAGATAGTATGCAAACTAGCACAATATCAACTGTATTAGACTATACAAAATTTTTTGTTCCCCAAATCTTTTTCTCCCCACAAAGATAAACACTGTCTTCAAAGATGACTGATGATAAAGTAGATGCCTGTGCCAGCTATCAATTTATTGCTTCTGAGCTTCAAATTCACTCTTCTTTGCCTGCTCTCTGATAATGGAGGTGGGCTTAGTAAACATTCCTTCTTTCTAGCTTGCATGATATTAAGTCTGGTCGACAGAGAGAAAGGGTTTTTCTCTTTCTGGTTCCAGAGTGTCTAGTTGGTCATGCTCCTGTAGACCATATTTTTATTCCTTGGTTAAAATAAAATCGTATTTTGTTAAAATCCTAATCCCACCTCTCAATTAGGTTTTCATTCATTTCTTCTGGCATTTCTACCATTTTCCTTCATACATTTTATTTGTGTATAAGCAATTCAAATTAAGTTTTTCTTCTCTACGGCTTTCATCCATTATTTAACAGTCCTGTTTATTCTGACTGATTATATATAATGGCAACACCTGCTTTTCTTATACTTTCATTTCATGGATCCAGGTGATCCTAGATTTCGTCTTTAAGTAGGTATTTAATGAGTTTCTCTTGAAATCAACATCCTGATGGGTTTTAGTTTTATTTCTTAATCTGGTTGAGTTTTTAATAGGCAAATTTATTCCACTTCACTATACCATCAAAATTTTTCCATTTAATTTTTCTTCTTTCCCTGTATGTCTTTTTTTTTCTTTTTTTTAATGTAGACAAAGCACTAGATTCAATAAATAATCAGAGAAGTTAAAAGATTTGCCCAAAGTGTCACACGAATTCACTTCCTATGGGTTCTATACTCGCCTTCAATATACCTATAAATATTCATTTATTCACCTAACATATTTACTGAATATCTACTATGTGCCAGGCACTGTTCTAGGTGCTGGGGATACAGTGTCATACAAAACAGATGAAGTTCCTGTCTTCATGGAGCTTACTTGTATCCTGGTGGTGGAAAGACAGGCAAAAAGCATACAAATTAATAGATAATGTCAGGTAGGGATACATGCTATGAAGAAAAATGAAGCTTTTGAGAAAATGGATTTCCCAACAAAAACTTGCTTAACAGTTAACTGGACCTACAACACCACCAAGTGGTTTTAGATCCTTGACACACTCCTAGAAAATAAATTTTATTAAAATTTAGACTCTCCTGAGAGTGAATTTTACCAACTTCAAGATAAATATAAATTTCCAATAGATAAGAAATATTTGCTTAGACTGTAAAATATTTCTAACATTTAAGACCACATAACTGTATATCCCTTTCATAACAGAGACTTTTTATAAAATACAGACATTAACCAAATGCCGATGTTATCAAAATTGATATTTTGGGAGGATATTATAGTACTCTTATCATAAAGTAGAAAAAAATTAGAGCAATAAATTAAGAGTCAATTATATATTTTAAATACTAAAAATTTAGACTTCATAAAATTCACTCTAGTAGAAATCTATGTAAAATTAATGAATAAAATGAAAGCAGAGTCACAAATAACATTTGTTAAACAATAATAGTAATAGCTAACATTTATTAAGCACTTACTATGTGCCTGAAACTGTTCTAATGAATTTGCATTTAGTCTCTTAAGAATCATATGAGGTAGATATTATCTTCATATTATAGAGATGAGAAAAATGAAGCAGAAAGGCTAAATAAATTGCCCAGGGTGATATAACTAATAAGTCTTAGAGCTGGGTCAGGTTCCAGAATTTACACTCCTAACTACTACTGTGTTGGTTATTTGTATATACCTGGGAGTATTCAGGTTCTCCTGAATTATTCTGGTCATTTCGAAACAATTTCACAGCTTTAAGGTATGTTTCCATTGACTTGAGTTTGGCTTTGTCAAAACCTAAAAAGATGATGAACAAGAAAATCCAGTAAAGAATTTTGAAATCTTTGTGGGTAAGGTTGCTGAATTCCAATAATGAGCAAAAAACAAATATTATTATTACTAAGTACTCATAGTAGAATTTTTTTATAAATTAGTACTTGATATTATTCTCAAGCACAGTAAAATTTTACCCTTCATGAAAACTCCACTTTATAAAATACATAACAGCCCCCCCTTAAAATTTACTCAATCACAGGCAAGATCAGAAATACTGAGCCAGTTCTATAAAACTTACAAAAAATATTGTTTGTAAAAGAAAAACCAATAATAAAACTGAACATAATAAATTACTACTCACCATGAAGGGTGAAATAAGCAACCTAAATATAAGCAATATGCAACTTAATAGTCAAAATGAAAGAATAAAGTAATCAAAAGTTAAGAACAGTTTCATAGAGCAGAAGGATAAAAAGATCTAACAGATCTTCAAAAAATTAAAAGAATTTAGACATTAACAAAAAAAATTTCCAATTAAACATCTGGGTAGTTATCTGTAAGCCTGATGAGAAGTAACTAACCATGGCAGATGGTATTTTCCAATGTTTGGCACAGCAATATATATCCTAAGTTACATGTTCTTCTTACAATGTGACAACGACATTCCTCCATCAAGAGGTGGAACTGATATTCACTTCTCCTGAATCTGAGCAATGTGACTTCCAGCTGGCAGGATGGCTGGGACTCCATTTCTCTCAGGTTACTTACCCTTGAAACTCCACTATGTGAGAAAGCCTATACTACATGGAGAACCACATATGGGTGTTCTGGCTGACAGCCCTAGCTGAGTTCCCAGGTGGGAGTTAGCATTTACTGTCAGATATGCGAGTGAACAAGCCTTCAGAATTCCTGTCCCTAGCTTTCCAGTCTTGCAGTTAAGACCTAGACATTATGAAGCAGAGACAAGTTGTCCCAGCTATGCCCTGTATGAATCACTGACCCAGTGAAATCATGTGGCAATAAATGTTATTGCTGTTTTAAGCCACAAAGTTTTAGGATAATCTGTTACATGGTAATAGGTCATTAATACATTAACTCATGTTAACATGCAAGGAATGAGGCACCTCTAACCTTTTTTCTCTTGAATGTTTTACCAACCAAACTCCAGTGTAGAGAAAGCTCTGCATTCTATGAGGACCATTTCCTCTAAGATTCCTAATGACCAGTCATCCATTTTGCCATTTGACTTATTAACTTATAATCTGCCCCTAAACGGAAGAATACAAGAATATATCCCCAAAATATACCTATGATTAGAGAGAGTAGTTCAGCAATTCTCTCTTAAAAAAACGAAGTGGCTCAAGGGGCCTTATGAAATAGAAACACATCCTGGCTTTGCAGGTACTTTCTATTTTATTTTATTTTTTTAAGATTGGCACCTGAGCTAACAACTGTTGCCAATCCTTGTTTTTTCCCCTGCTTTTTCTCCCCAAATCCCCCCAGTACATGGTTATATATTTTAGTTGTGGGTCCCTCTACTTGTGGCATGTGGGACGTCACCTCAGCATGGCCTGATGAGTGGTGCCATGTCTGTGCCCAGGATCCAAATTAGTGAAACCCTGGACTGCCGAAGTGGCATGTGCAAACTTAACTCAGCCACAGGGCCGGCCCCCTATTTTTTTTTTTCTTTTGAGGAAGATTAGCCCTGAGCTAACATCCATGCCCTTCTTCCTCTACTTTATATGTGGGACACCTGCCACAGCATGGCTTGACAAGCGGTGAGTAGGTCCACACCTGGCATCCGAACCGGCGAGCCCTGGGCCACCAAAGCGGAACGTGTGAACTTAACCACTCCGCTACCAGGCTGGCCCAGGTATTTTCTATTTTAAAATAAACAGTCAGTAGAAGAGCGGTCAAAGTTCCTGGATAATGAGGCTACAAAAAAGATTTGAAATCTGTAACCCTGTGTTGCATTTAACAAAATTATGTGCTTCTTATTCTTTAGACAAGCACTGGTTCTCAAACTTTTTTGTCTGGTGGCTCCTCTACTCCTGGATACGGAAGGGAATACCTGTGAATACGCTCAAGCCTGGTTTCCATGAAACTGCAACCTCTGATCCCTAGGCAGGGTGTAGGTATTCATCATCATAGGGAAAAAGGGAGGCGAAGATCAGCTGTTTGAATAATTCCTTTAAGTTGCTCTAAGTGAGTCACAGGGTACTAGGGTTTGAGAGCACAAGATTTTTTGAAGATATCTGATGCAGTTCATTTGAAAGCCACTGTTTCAAAATTATTAAATAACAGGTACAAGGCAGTGATTTATTATAAAATATTTCGGACACAGTGGAAATGTAACATTTATGCTAATGATATCTTCTTACCTGTATGTTCTAAATGTTTTAATGTCACATTATCAACAGGGAAAAAGCTGAGGATAGCACCATATTCTGGACACATGTTTGCTATTGTAGTTCGATCCACTATAGATAATTGTGAAACTCCACTTCCAAAAAACTCAACAAACTTTCCAGCCACTCCTACTTGCCTGAGGTGCTATATAAAGGGATACACAGAAACACACAATTAGCAACGTTAAGATTAGCATGGATTCTCTGAAAACTATAAAATCTAATTTTTAACCAATACTAGTGACAGTGAAGAAAAGAGGTTCTCTGTCATTCTTATGAAACATCGACTCATTCTAAAATCATTTTTCTTAGTTACTTCTAAGTAACCAAAATACCTACTCACCTCTTCTAAACTGTAAAATGGTCTCAGATTGGTATAGGGTGAGTGCCTACAAGTTGACTAAAAATGAAATAACCTTCAACCTATGAATAATATTAAGTCCTAACATACTAGAGGTGCTAGGGATCACTTATTACAAAGTCTTTTATAGATGTAGAAACTCAAGCCTAAGAGATAGTCATGGATTCATATATTCATAGAAATATTTTATTTTTATTTATTTTTTTTTGAGGAAGATTAGCCCTGAGCTAACTACTACCAATCCTCCTCTTTCTGCTGAGGAAGACTGGTCCTGAGGTAACATCCATGCCCATCTTCCTCTGCTTTATACATGGGACGCCTACCACAGCATGGGTTTTGCCAAGCAATGCCATGTCTGCACTCGGGATCCAAACCAGCGAACCCCAGGCCACTGAGAAGTGGAACGTGAGAACTTAACCGCCGCACCACCAGCCGGCCCCTCATGGAAATATTTTTGACGATGAGAGCAATACAGATTAGATATACCAAGCCAAATACTGCTTTCACCAAATTAATGAGATATCACAATATACATTTTGAAAAACAATACATGATTAATGAAAAGAACATGAAAAGAACAAGGCCTCAAAAAAGAAATAAAATAATCAATGTAAATCGATGTAAACATACACAATAGATTTAACTTTTATATCACTGTAAAAGCAAAAATGGCAAAACAGACATGTAATATTGTTATGAAAAAATATAGCCAGAGAGTTCTGAAAAACAGCATTAATTTTCAGGCTGTCCAAAGGAATGAACTGATTTCTCTAAAAACATACTGGGATATTCCTTTTCCTTTAGGAATAGCCCTGCAATTCTCAATTTAACTTCTTCATCTTTTGGTATCATAAGTCAATCAACCATTTCTGTAAGACGTCAAAATTTTTTCTAATTAAGGAAGAAGATCAATACTAAATGCCAAGAGGGAGGAAATACCATTTTCTTTCCCTGCAGAGTATTCTAAAAGCCTTCAGACCAATAATCTAACCAAAGAATGCTGAGATTCTGGGATCTAAACTGAAATTGTATGTGGAACATTTCCCAGGTTCATTCATTTAACAAACTGGGACCTAATCATTAAAATAAAGTTAGTGAAAATCAGAAATTTAAGATGCAGAGTTACAAATTATTGTTCACTAGGAAACCCTAGAGTATATGTATTGAATGCATGCAGCCAACATTTTAAAATTGCAGAGAAAAAAATTTCTACATAATACATTAAAGAAACGTTAAAACAGCCAATAGAAAAATTTGACACAATCACACTTTACAGTCCATATTTTTGAAAGTATTATCTAGTAAAATAATAGTTTCTAAAGGGAAAATGATTTAAACAAGTATTAAAGGAGATGCAATTAGATCTTTCCTAACTATGATTCTTTTAATTCATATAGTCAACAAATATTTATTGAGGGAATAAGGCATAATGGTCAAAAGCATGGACTCAAGAACCTGACATCCTGGGTTACAATCCTTGTTGTACAACTTCCTATTCAGCTCTATAACCCTTTGGTAAGTCATTAAACTTTACTGTGTCTCGAGTTTTCTCAGAATTAAAATGAGGATAGTAGTAGGACCAATCTCACAGACTTGTAATGAGGAATGAGTGAGTTAACATGTCAAGTAAACGACACAACAAATTGTTTTGTACTTACTCATACAAAGTACTATATATTTGATATTGTTACTATGATGATAACTATGACAATGCAGCTAATAATGTCAGATGCTGAGGATGAAGTGAGGAACTAAAATCCCCGCTCTCATGGGGCTCCTCTACATACATAAAAAGAATGTCCACTAAGTTATACAGCTGGCACAATTTTAACTTACCTTTGTAATGCCAAGAACAACATCTATGGATGTAACAAAAGGGTTTGATGAGCCAGTTAACTCACATCCAACCACCTCTGGCAAAGTAAGAAAAACTGGCAGACCAAGCATAACTGCTTCTGTTTCGATGCCTCCAACCCCTACAGTAATAAAGACAGGTATATTAGCATAGTACATTTAAAGATAGTTTAAGTTATCTTTGTAACATCTAAATCTCTAGGTATTTCACGAGCTTGTCTTACACAGTAGCTTACAGAGCTGCCACACTGCCTCTACTGTGGATATGGGACTCAAGTCTTCTCAAAACATTTTTACCTTTATATTAAATTCAGTAAACATTTATTATTTATTAAGCTAAGTACTGTACTATGCTCAAGATATAGGTATGAAAAGAACCCAGTTCCTGCCAAGCTCAAGAAGCTCAGTCTAATGGCAAAGACAAAAAAGTCAATCATTATAACACCTTGTAAAAGACTAAATGCATTCTGCCAGAGGGAATAGCCTATGGAAAGCCATGACATATAAGAGCACAGCCCATTCAGGGAAATAAATGACTAGTTGTAAGATGCGTGTGGGTGAATGCTCAAAGAGGCACTAGGTTGTGAAGGGCCTTTGTATAAAATGCAAAGGAGAATGATATGGGGAGTGACGTCATCATAACAGTGGAGTGAGCTCTTCCCTTAAGTCTCTCCCAAGACATAAGGAAAAGGACATCCACAAACCAACAGAGGACATAAACACAACACAAGAGCTGTCTGAGAGATCCATGCAGCCAAATGTCTGAAGGTGAAGGTGCCGGACCTCCTGGGAGGCAGTGGAAGGAGGTAAGGGGATCTCCTCTACCTCACACAGAGCAATGATCTAGGGCAGGACATTACCCAGTGGTGTGCAACTCTGAGAGGAGAAGGGAGAAAGGGCAGCCTTCTGTAGGAATGCCTTCGCTCTTGGAGTTGCCTTCCAGCCTGTAGGAATGTTCCACCCTGAGGAGACTAAGCAATTGAGCAGGGTGTCTTCACCAAGCCAAGCAGCCTAGGAGGGCAAATAGTTGAGTGCAGAGAGGGGTAGCCTGAGATTGTGCATGTGAAAGAGAGCACCCCACTATGTGGTACACAAGCTTGGCCAGTCGGCCAGAGCAGAGGACCCATGCCAGAGCACCTGCGTTTCTATATGTAAAGCAGCAACGGCCAGCAGGCAAATGCAGACAGGTCCTGTTGGCATAGCTTCCAATGGACAAGCACAGCTGCCAGGGATTGTGGTGGGTTCAGAATACAAAGCTCCTGCCCCACTCCAGTAGCGGCAGGTGGAATCTGTGACCAGATACTACCACTATGCAATGGTACAAGTATAGTATAAAGAGGTACGTTAACACTCCAGACCAGATTGAAAATGACAGGAACCCAGAAATCAATCCTGAAGTCACAGAAATGTACAATCTAAATGATAGAGCCTTCAAAATAGTTATCATAAACAAACTCAACAAGTTACAAGAAAACTCAGAAAGAGAGTTCAATGAGCCCAGGAATAAAATTAATGAAGAGAGGAAATTCTTCACATAAGAGATTGAAACTATTAAAAAAACCAATCAGAAATGTTGGAGATGACAAATATTATTGGTGAGATAAAGAAAAATCTAAAGTCCTTAAATAACAGAGCTGATATTACAGAGGACAGAATTAGTAACTTAGAGGATGGAAATACAGAAATGCTTCAGGAGGAAGAGGAGAGAAAACTAAGATTAAAAAGAAATGAAAACATTATCCAAGAAACATCTGACACAATTAGAAAAAGTAGCTAAGAATTTTAGGTATTCCAGAGTGAAAAGAAAGGGAGAAAGGAGCAGAGAGCTTCTTCAAAGAAATAATAGCTGAGACCTTCTCAAACCTGGGGCAAGAGCCGGAATTACTAGTAAACGAAGCAAAAAAACTCCTAATTACATCAGTATAAAAAGACCTTCTCCAAGGCATGTATTAGTAAAACTGGTGAAAGTCAATGACAAAGAAAAAATATTAAGGGCAGCAAGGCAGAAGAAAATAACCCACAAAGGGACCCCTATCAGGCTTTTAGCAATTTCTCAGCAGAAACCTTACAGGCTAGGAGACAGTGGAATGATACATTCAAAATTCTCAAAGATGAAAACTTTCAGGCAAGAATACTCTATCCAGCAAAAGTACTCTTTGGATATGACGGAGAAATAAAAACTCTCCCAGATAAACAAAAGCTGAAGGAGTTCATCACCACAAGACCCTCCTTGTTTACAGGAAATGATCAAGAAGGCCCTCATACCTGAAAAGATAAAGAAAAAGTATATAGGGGCTGGCCCCGTGGCTGAGTGGTTAAGTCCGTGTGTTCCACTTTGGTGGCCCAGGGTTCAGATCCTGGGCACAGACCTAGCACTGCTCATCAAGCCATGCTAAGGCGGTGTCCCACATGCCACAACTAGAAGGACTCACAACTAAAAATACACAACTATGTACCGCTGGGCTTTGGGGAGAAAAAGGAAAAAAATAAATTCTTAAAAAAAAGAAAGGTTTACCAATCTTGAGCAAGGACATAAAGAGACAGGAAAAATCAGGAAGCTACAGCTCTCTATCAGAACAGGTTAGCAAACACTTAATTATAACATTAAAGAGAAGGAAAACATCAAAAATAACTATAATCACTTCATTTTAATCACAAACTCAAAACACAAAATAGAGTAAGTTGTGACAACAATAACTTAGATGAGGAAGAGGAAATGGATGGAACTTGCTTAGACTAAGGAAGTAAGAGGCTATCAGAAAATGGACTATCTCATCTACAAGATCTTTTCCACAAATCTCACAGTAACCACTAAACAAAACATCAGAACAGAGATACAAGTGCTAAATAAAGAGAAAACTGAGAAAATCATCATAGAGAACCACCAAACTGAAGTGGGAGTCAGAAATACATGGGATGAAAAACAAGGGAAATACAGAACAATTGGAAAATAAGTGATAAAATGGCAGTATTAAGCCCTCGTATATGAATAATCACTCTAAAGGTAAAAGGATTGAATTCTCCAATCAAAAGACACAGTGGCTAGATGGATTAAGAAACAAGACCCAACAATATGCTGCCTCCAGGAAACACATCTCAGCTCTAAAGACAAACATAGGCTCAGAGTGAAGGGATAGAAGATGATACTCCAAGCTAATGGCAAACAAAAGAAAACAGGTGTTGCCATACTTAGATCAGACAAAGTAGACTTCAAGATAAAAAAGGCAATGAGAAACAAAGAGGGGCAGTATATAATGATAAAAAGGACACTCCACCAAGAGGACATAATACATGCACCCAGCACAGAAGCACTGAAGTACATAAAGCAACTATTAACAGACCTAAGAGGAGAAATTAACAGCAACGCAATAATAGTAGGTGATCTGGACACCCCACGAACATCAATAGCTAGCTCATCCAGACAGAAAGTCAACAAGGAAATAGTGGAATTAAATGAAAAACTAGACCAGACGGACTTTACATATATGTAGAACATTCCATCTAAAAGCACCAGAGTACACATTCTTCTCAAGTGCACATAGAACATTCTCAAGACAGACCATATATTCAGAAACAAGGCAAGTTTCAATAAATTTAAGAAGACTGAAATCATATCAAGCATCTTTTCCAACCATAATGCTATAAAACTAGAAATCAACTATAAGAAAAAAGCTGGGCAAGTCACAAATATGTGGAGACTAAACAACACGCTAATGAACAACCAAGGGATCATTGAAGAAATTAAAGGAGAAATCAAAAAATATCTGGTGACAAATGGAAATGAAAATACACCATACCAACTCACATGGGATGCAGCAGAAGTGGTCCCAAGAGGGAAATTCAGTAATATGGGTCCATCTTAACAAACAAGAAAAGTCTCAAATAAGCAATCTTAAACTAGACCTAACAGAACTAGAAAGAGAAAAACAAAGCCCAAAATCAGCAGAAAGAAGGAAATAATAAAAATTGGAGCAGAAATAAATGAAATTGAAACAAACAGTAGAAAGAGTCAATGAAACTAAGAGTTGGTTCTTTGAGAAGATAAATAAAACCCACAAACCCTTAGCCAGACTCACTAAGAAAAAAGGAGAGAAGGTTCAAATAAACAAAATTAGAAATGAAAGGAGAAATAACAACAGATACCACAGAAACACAAAAGATTATGAGAATAATACGAAAAGCTATATGCCAACAAAATGGACAATCTAGAAGAAGTGGATAAATTCTTAGACTCACACAACCTCCCAAAACTGAAACAAGAAGGAATAGAGAATCTGAAGAGGTCAATCACAAAAGATTGAAACAGTAATAAAAAACCTAAGATATCAAAAACATAAGATCTTTATAGAACATAAAGATTTAATACCTATCCTTCTCAAACTATTCCAAAAAAGTGAAGATGACAGAGCACTTCCTAACACGTTTTACAAGGCTTAACATTACCCTGATCCCAAAGCCAGGCCAGAACAACACAAAGAAGGAAAATTATAGGCCAATATTGCTGATGAGCATAGATGCAAAAATCCTCAAAATATTGGCAAACGAAATACAGTAATACATTAAAAGGATCAATCATACACCATGATCAAGTGGGATTTATACCAGGGACGAAGAGATGGTTCAACACCTGCAAATCAATCAACATGATATACCACGTTAACAAAATGAGGAATAAAAACCACATGGTCATCTCAATAAACGGAGAGAAAGCACTTGACAAGATCCAACATGCATTTATGATAAAAAAAAAAACCTCAATAAAATTGGTATAGAAGGAAAGTATTGCAACATAATAAAGGCCATATATGACAAACCCACAGTCAACATCATACTTGACAGGAAAATACTGAGAGCCATCCCTCCGAGAAAAAGAATAAGACCAGGGTGCCCACTCTTGCCACTCTTATTCAACGTAGTACTGGAGGTTTTGGACAGAGCAATTAGGCAACAAAAACAAATAAAAGGAATGCATTAGGCATTGAAGAAGTGAAACTCTCGCTGTTTGCAGGTGACATGATTTTATATAGAGAAAACCCTAAAGAATCCACTGGAAAATTATCAGAAATAATCAATAACTACAGCAAAGTTGTGGGGTACAAAATCAACTCAAAAAATCAGTTGCATTTCTATACTCTAATAACAAACTAACAGAAAGAGAACTCAAGAAAACAATCCCATTTACAACTGCAACAAAAAGAATAAAATATCCAGAAATAAATTTAACCAGAGGTGAAAGACATATAACACTTAAAACTACAAGACATTATTGAAAGAAATCAATGATGACATAAAGAAATGGAATGATACTCCATGCACATGGACTGGGAGAATAAACATAGTTAAAATGTACATAACTACCTAAAGCAATCTACAGATTCAATGCAATCCCAAACAGAATCCCAATGACATTCTTCATGGAAATAGAACAAAGAATCCTAAAATTCATATGGGGCAACAAAAGACCCCAAATTGCTAAAGCAATCCTGAGGAAAAAGAACAAAGCTGGAGGCATAAAAATCCCTGACTTCAAAATATACTACAAAGTTATAGAAATCAAAACAAGATGGTACTGGTACAAAAAGAGACACACAGATCAATGAAACAGAATTGAAAGCCCAGAAATAAAACCACACATCTATGGACAGCTAATCTTTGACAAAGGAACCAAGAACACACAATAGAGAAAGGAAAGTCTCTTCAGTAAATGGTGTTGGGAAAACTGACAGCCACATGCAAAAGAATGAAAGTAGACCATTATCTTTCACCATATACAAAAATTAACTCAAAATGGATTAAAGACTTGAAGGTAAGATGTGAAACCATAAAACTCTTAGAAGAAAATATAGGCAGTACACTCTTTGACATCGGTCTTAGAAGGACCTTTTCAAATACTATGTCTACTCAGGCAAGGGAAACAAAAGAAAAAATAAACAAATGGGACTATATTGGACTAAAGAGCTTCTGCAAGGGACAGGAAACCATGAACAAAACAAAAATACAACCCACCAATGGGGAGAAAATATTTGCAAATCATATATCCAACAAGGGGTTAATCTCCAAAATATATAAAGAACTCACATAACTCAACAACAAAAAAGCAAATAATCCAATCAAAAAATGGACAGAGGATATGAACAGACATTTTTCCAAAGAAGATATACAGATGGCCAAGAGGCACATGAAAAGATGTTCAACATCACTAATCATCAGGAAAACACAAATCAAAACTACACTAAGATATCACCTTACATCTGTTAGAACAGCTATAATCACCAGACAAAAAATAACAAACGTTGGAGAGAATCCAGGGAAAAGGGAACCTTCATACACTGCTGGTGGGAATGCAAACTGGTGCAGCCACCAAAGAAAACACTATGAAGATTTGTCAAAAAATTAAAAATAGAAAATACCATACAATTCAGCCATCCCACCACTGGTTAGCTATCCAAAGTACTTGAAATCAACAATTCAAAGAGACTTATGCACCCCTATGTTCACTGCAACATTATTCACAAAAGCCAAGACATGGAAGCAACCCAAGTGCCCAACAACTGATGAATGGATAAAGAAGATGTGATGTATATATATATATATATATATATATATATATATATATACACACACAATGGAATAATAGCCATAAAACACAAAATTGTCCCACTTGTAACAACATGGATGGACCCTGAGGGTGTTATGTTAAGCGAAATAAGCCAGACAGAGAAAGACAAACACTGTATGATTTCACTCATATATGGAAGATAAACACATGGACAAAGAGAACACATTAGTAGTAACCAGAGGGAAAGGGGATTTGGGCGTGGGCATAAGGGGTAAAGGGGCACATACATATGGTGACTGATAAATAATAATGTACAACTGAAATTTCACAATGTCATAAACTGTTATGACGTCAATAAAATAAAATTTTTAAAAATGCAAAGAAATTTGGAGAAGTCAGGAGAAGATACTGAAGGAGTTTAAACAAGGGAGTAACCACAACACCTTCAGAAACATCATCATCATCACTCTAATCACTCCACAAATGGTAGTACTGTGCAAGGTATGGTGCAAATTTCTTCTCATAAATTCTGTCTTATATGACACTGTCCACAAATACTTGAATTACGATTTACTTTTATTGCTACTAGTATCGATGAAAAAACACCCTCAGAGGCTAAAAAACCTGTTATTTATGTTCTTTTATAGTGTTCCTGACATCTTCTCCCCAAAAGAACTAAATATATTTAGTCATTTACTTACCCCACCCCAGAATCCCCAAACCATTCACCATGGTTATATGAGAATCTGTGCCAACGACACTGTCTGGGAAGAGGAGGTTCTTTTCTTCAAAAACCACTCTCGACAAATATTCTAAGTTTACTTGATGAGCCATTCCAGTTCCAGGAGGGATTACAGCCACATTCTTAAAAACTCTTGAACTCCACTATATTTTGTTTAAATTTAAGAAATCCAAGTGTTAGTACATTACATGAATTTGTGCTCACAATAAAGATATAAGTAAATATTGACACTAAAAATATTTTACCAATGTTCAATATGGTCACAGTTTATAGCATATACTTAAAAACAAATATGTAGATACTAAACCTAAACATACCCATTTTTCAGATTATTAAAACAAAATTAAGTCAAAGGAAAATGTTCCAATAGTCCAGATAAACAGTAGTCATCAACTATGTTCCAGCAGTTCTCAAGTATAAGGCCGTCCAAGCTCACTTGAACTAAAGCCACTGTTTTTATCTTTTTTTATACACTGGGGTTTCCAGTAAGATTTTTTTTTTTTTTTTTTAAAGATTTTATTATTTCCTTTTTCTCCCCAAAGCCCCCCGGTACATAGTTGTATATTCTTCGTTGTGTGTTCTTCTAGTTGTGGTATGTGGGACGCTGCCTCAGCGTGGTCTGACGAGCAGTGCCATGTCCGCGCCCAGGATTCGAACCAACGAAACACTGGGCCGCCTGCAGCGGAGCGCGCGAACTTAACCACTCGGCCACGGGGCCAGCCCCAAGATTTTTTTTTTAAAAAAGAGTTAATCACTCGTTGGTTTTTTTTGTGAGGAAGACTGGCCTTGAACTAACATCAGCTACCAGTCTCCTCCCTTTTGCTTGAGGAAGGTTGTCCTAAGCTAACATCCCTGCCAATCTTCCTTTACTTGGGATGTGGGACACCACTACAGCATGGCTTCATGAGCAGTGTGTAGGCCCATGCCTGGGATCTGAACTTGCAAACCCTGGGCCACAAAAGCGGAGCGTGTGAACTTAACCACTATGCAACCAGGCCAGCCTCTCTGATAACATTTTATCTGAAGGAACAAAAAAAGATTCTACTGCTATGAAGTATTTTAAAACTATTAGTCTAAAGATATAAAAATTGTACCTATCAATACTTTATAAATTTCAACATAAAAATTTCCCGCAAATCATTCATACCTTGAAAAATTGAAGCCTCTCTCGATTTCTGCCAAATTCTACTTCTTGATTTTTTAACACTGTTTCAGGCCTAAAAGGAAGAAGAGTTGGCATTAAATGTATGTATTACAGACTTGCCTTGTTTCTAAGTCTTCACTCGTACACACATACATACAAACATATTTTTACAATTCTTGGAACAGGAATTTACTAGACTTCTCACAATCAGTTATTTTCTTTTCAACAAGGAAGTTCCTCTTTAAGTTATACACTAGAAAGCTATTGCAAGGACTTATTATTTTACTGGGTATATTAAAGCCACGTCCACACCCATGTCCCAAACTGTACTTGACATCCATGACTGTGAGATTTGGCTAAAATCATATGAAAAATAACATGGTAAGCTTTGTTGGATTTTCCACTGCAAAGAAAAAGGAAGGTAGCAGCTCGTTCAACAATAAGTATGTACATTTCCACCCACTTGGCTCTTGTGCCAGTTAAACTAGGAGATGGAAGTTGATTATCAATATGTAGCAATGACAAAAACAGTTCAACATCATTTTATAGTTTAAAAAGAGCTTCGGGAAAAAATCTTGTATTTATCTCACCCAAAATGGAAGGTTCTATTTTATGTATAAGTAGCAGTTTACTTTATAGGGATTATAAACATATTTGACATGCATTATTTAAACAAAGAGATAAAAACAATTCACCTCTAAGCAGTAAACATAGTACCATTTTCAGGAAGCTATTTTTATCTAATGGATATTTAAAAAAAATTCTTTCTAATAGCTTTAAGTTGTTTATGTCACCTGTCAGCTGGTGATTAAGTGCTGACTAGAACAACAATATAACAAATTATACATGTTCTCCAGGGTCCACAATAATTACTGTTGTTTAACTATATATATATTTTTTAAACAAAGATTACTCTAACAATTCAATGCTGAGCGATCATTTGAAACCATAGCATATCTTAATGAGATGTTTCTCAGGACCGCAGGGAACACAACTTTCTAGAGCCGCTCCAATTATTTCACCTTTCCATAGCACATATGGCTACAAAGTGCCATTTATTAGCTCATAACCCAACCTCAAATTAGGCAGTGATTTTAAGTGCCAAACGTATGCTCTCAACTTTCTACTCCTCAGTTTCTTGTTTGAGTCTATAATTAATACTCCATTGATGCAGTGAATCACACAAAAGAGAGTTATTATTTTCATACAGCCAGGGACAATATAACCCATATTAATATTTTGTAATTTAGAGTCAAAATTGAATGGAAATGTTACATCAGATTGAATTTTTAGAAATAAAAATGTATCATCTTAGCACTTCATACTCTGCCAGTTGTAAAAAGACAACCAAGAAAATCAATAATTTTTTAATTAATAAATCCTCCTTTTCAGGAAATTAATTTCTGTATAAGTAGAGATGTTAATCTCAAAAGTCAGGATGCCCCTAACAATCAGGACAACTAGGTAGCAGGGATAAGAGTGATCACATGAAATTGTCATATATATATATTATTTTGGCGAGGACGACTGGCCCTGAGCTAACATCTGTGACAATCTTCCTCTATTTTGTATGTGGGATGCCACCACAGAATGGCTTGATGACTACTGAAGGTCCACACCTGGGATCCAAAACCATGAACCCCAAGCCACTGAAGCAGAGTGCGCAAACTTCACCAGTAGGACACTGGGCCAGCCCTAAAACTGTCATAGTTTGATGGCAAAGAACCAACGGACTATACTAAATTGAAACACATGAAGCCACTACAACCTGAGGCTTTATAGAAATATTGAGCCAAAAACTTTAGAACTAGACAGAACTTGAAAGATTCAGTTTGGGGACAAATGAATTAATGTTTTATCTGGCACTTGGGATGACGTGTGGATATTATTTTTAGATATTCTAATAATCTTAAATGTGTTAAATTTTTTTAAACTTTAAAAAGTTTAAGCCATTTTTTACTAAATTAAAAAGAATTTTTTTTACAGCTTATTAACAATGGGATAAACAATATAGCTCTCTTAAAAATAATAAGACTTAGGAAACTTTATACCATATAAAAATTCAAGTCATAGAATTTTCTTATTTTGAAAAATTATCTATTAGGAGATTGAACCAACTCCCAAAAATAGGATCTTTTCTAGGCAGGTTTACTACTACCATACAGGCAATCACTTATCTAAGAGGGCTCATTAAGTTTGTGACATATGTAATATACAGTTCTTAATGCAATAAGAAAAAGTAAGAAATCTCCTCATAGGGGGAAAAAAGCTAAAAATATAAATAGGGAATTCACAAAATAAATATGAATGAATAATGAACATGTGAATGGCACAAATTCCCTAAAATAAAAAATTCACAGTTCAAGATGAGATCCCATTTTCCTGCCACATTAGTTAAAAAAATTAAATACATTTACAGAAATATCTTAAGGTTTTCTTCCTAAGGAACAGAAATAAATAATGATATTTAGAGACTAGCATTTTACTTAACTTTGTTTTACTTGTACTTTACTTAACAATAGGAAATACACATACAAATGTAATCTAGCATAGTAAGTAGGAAGGCAATATAATAGGAATCAGGAGGGTAAGGAGAATAAATATGACGTCCTTAACTGAAAAATAATCTGGCATTAATAAATATTTTTTTAAAAAATCTCATACTCAGGCACTGGTTGCAAATGAAAAGGACACAGAATGGGTGTATTCTCAATCTGCGAAGAAAATTTTCCTGAGTTTCGGCTTAGTTCTCCAGAATCACACGATCCTCGGCAGGCAGTCTGGCCTCTGCAGGGAAGCTTTCTAGGCTGCGCTTTAAGTGGAGAGAGCTTTCCTGCTTTCTGCAAGTCACCACCTCCAGGATTTGGAGCATTCTGTATTGCACTATCATTCCAAGAAAGGAAACAAAATAAAACCATTTAAAAGTGACAGAAATTTAGCTCTTCAAAAAACGCACACTAGTAATAATATCTGGAAGTAACTGTTATTTGAAGGTTAATATATAATTTAACTCAGATTTCAAAAGCAAATTTCAGATTACCTAAAAAACTGAAACAGGTAATTGAAATTTATAGAGATGAAAACATAATTCTAAGTGCCCAATAAAATCATTTTTATACACTTTATAACAATTTAAATAACTTTTATCAAGTACCAAAATAGATTTTTTTTCATCTAACAATCTAAAAGAAGCTCAGAGCCATAGTTTTAATCTGGAGGGCAAAAGCTCTCATGGGATCTAATACAGTCACGCGTCACTTAACAATGGGAGGATACGTTCAGAGAAATGTGTCATTAGGCGATTTCATCATTGTGCAAACATCATAGAGTATACTTGCACAAACCTAGATAGTATAGCTTACCACACAACTAGGTTATATTTAACCTAATGGGACCACCATGATATATGCGGTCTGTCACTGACCAAAAACATTGTTATGTGTTACGTGACTGTACCACTACTCCAGCAAATGTAAAATAAAGCTGGTGCATGACAACAACATCATGACGTCTCTAGTTTGACATTGGTCAAAGGGACCTTTTAAGAAATTTATTTCAGTGTAAGGAAAATACACCTTTAGGAAATTCAGTGTTTTCATTCACCAATTAATTAAAGACATTTGTGGCTCACGTCTTTATATTCTCTTTATATTCCCTCTGTTTTTAACTCATGATAAAAAACAAAAAGGAAATAAATGAAGACTGAATTCAGATATTAACTCCAAAATACAGGTTTTAGGCTTATACATTTCTATCAGAAATGGCAGCAGAAACATACAAATGAACTTTTTATCAGTTTTTCTTTTTATATAGTATATCTATTTAGTATGCTTTACTCTGACATAAACTGTCTCTGCTCTCTTTCTTCTGTATCATACACTTCCAGTGAGTTGGCTGTCAGTTAACTTGCATGGTCATCTTCATAAATATCTATATTAAAGTACCATTTATTGAAGTCAATTTGTAACGAATGGTCAACCGTGAGATCTGTAGGACAGGCAGGATGGACTTTCTTAGGATCCCCTCCAAGAGTTTTCACTGCCTCCCTCATAGCAGCAAAATCCACCATTGCCGGTATTCCACTAAAAAATAAAAAATGATCAAATTATAGTTCTAACTGTTCTCTTATATACTCTCAAATGACTAATATGCGTTTATTCATATTTTTTTTCTGAAGACTACATCGTATTCACCAACGATTTTTGTATTTTAAAAATATCTCTTTTTAGTTTGTATTCATGTTTGACAATGCACTTGGTTATCCAAAGTTAGATGTATCCTGGTTTAATGAAAATTAATATTAAATATCATTTGAGAACTTGAGTGCTCAGGGGTAGATGTGCCAAAAATAACACAAAAGATCATTTTTAGAGGTATAACATAACTTCAAGGGAACTGCCTATGGAATTCTTTCTCCTGCCTTCAAATTTATGATACCCTGTCTCCCTTTTCTCTAGCTCTAGCCCCTTCCCTCCCAGTGCCTTCCTGCTACTAAATATATATAAAAATAGATATATTTATATTTATTTATATATATTTATATTTTACATATAAATATAAATTTTATTATTTATAAATTTTTTTTTTTAAAGATTGGCACCTGAGCTAACAACTGTTGCCAATCTTTTTTTTTTTTTCTGCTTGATCTCCCCAAACCCACCCTGTACACAGTTGTATATCTTAGTTGCACATCCTTCTAGTTGTGGGATGTGGGAGCCCACCTCAATGTGGCCTGACGAGCGGTGCCATGTCCACACCCAGGATCCAAACCCTGGGCTGCCACAGCGGAGTGTCCGAACTCAACCACTCGGCCACGGAGCCAGCCCCTATTATTTATAAATTTATATTATTATATAGATATATTTATATAAATATATCTATATAAATAGATAGATGGATCGATATCTCCAGCCAACTAAATATATATAAATAGATATATAAATATATTTTAGACATATATATTTAGATATATGTATCTATTTATATAGATATATATTACGTATATATCTATATAAATAGATAGATAGATGGATAGATAGCTATCTCCAGCCAACTGTATAACAAGCATTTACCAAATGCCTTCAATGTGCTAGACACCAACGGCACAAGGCCAAAGAGACAGTTTCTGCTCTCAAGGAATTTGTAGGAGATAAAGGAGCAATCACAGCATATTACCATAAGTACTATAAGAGCAGCATATATAGGGTACATAAAGCAGTGACATACAAAAAAGATTTGGATAGGTGGGTGAAGATGTTCTTATTTGTCTAGCTAACACTTATGCCTCTTTCAAAACTGAGCTAAAGATTAACTCTTCCAATAAATAATCCCTGGATGCCCAGATAAAGCAAAGTCTTTCAGGCTATGGTAAAGCATTTGGATTTCATTCTAAGTGTCATGAAAGCCAACTGGTATATGGGGAAATGATATAACTTTGATTAACATTTTTTTAACCAAGTTACTTCATCTATGTGAAAAGACTACAAACTGCAAGTGTGGAAGCAGGGATACCAATTAAGAGACTATTATAGTTGTAGCCCCGGTAAGAGAGAATGGGTCTAGAACCAGGATGATAGTAGTAAGGGATGATAAAAAGTATTTGGACTCAAGATATATTCAAAGGTAAAGCTCACAGACCTTGCTGATAGACCGGATTATGTGTAAAGGAAAGAGAGGAATCAAGGTTAACACCTAGATTTTTGCCCTAAACAAACGGGAGACTATACTGCCATCTACTATGATGGAAAAAGACTTGAAAAGGAATAGGTGAGGCGGGCTGGGCAATCAAGTTTTGGATATGTTCAGTTTGAAAAACCTATTAGAGCTAGGTGGAGATGACAAATAGGCAGTTAAGAAAAAGTAGTTTTTGGGGCTGGCCCAGTGGCACAGCAGTTAAGTGCACACGTTCTGCTTCGGCGGCCCAGGGTTCACTGGTTCAGATCCCCAGTGCAGACATGGCACCACTTGACAAGCCATGCTGTGGTAGGCGTCCCACGTATAAAGCACAGGAAGATGGGCACAGATGTTAGCTCATGGCCAGTCTTCCTCAGCGAAAAGAGGAGGACTAGCAGCAGATGTTAGCTCAGGGCTAACCTTCCTCAAAAAAAAAAAAAAGAAAAAGTACAACAACAAACATTTTTTGAATAAATAATACAACAAACAAGTTTTTGAATAAATGGTACAACAAACAAGGGTCTAATTTTTAACAAATTGCTTTGGTTCTGAAAGGGCTATTTTCTAAAATTTATAAACTAATCTTCAAAATTAAAAAACAACAGAGTCAACCATCGGGGAGTCTGAATTTTAAAAAGGGAACGCTGAAAATTCACTCATAAAAAAATAAACCCATCACTCACGTAAAATCTTGAAGAAGAACACGGGCAGGGAAAAAGGGCACTTCGACATTGCTTTGTTTGGTTTTCCAGTCTAAAATGTTCATAACCTGTTCCTTTGTCATTAAAAAGCCATCACAATTTCTCACAGCAGCTTCCAACAGGACCCGTATTGAGTAAGGCAGAACATCTGATACAAGAGAAAATATTACTATTAATAATAGAATAATCCACTCTATATTGTAAAAATTACAATAGTGTAAAGTCAGATAAGACAGAAGCATTGTTTTCTCAATTAAAAAAAATTTTCAGTCTAGTAAACACAGAGTAAAGTATCATTCATGTTAACACTAGGCCTTGTACAAATTTGACTTTTCTATATTTAAGCCAAGGCCCTGAAAAAGGAGAGAGAAAATCTTCACCAAGAGCTGTACTGATTTGGGCATATGAGACTGACAAAATACTTAATATTCAGAGAAGACAGAGAAAACTTGCAAAGCACAGAAAATCAGAATTAAATACAATAATGAAGACATCTATTTCTTTTATCACAAAAAATAGTTGAACTGTGTAAAAGTTTAAAATAAATTTAAAAGATTTCCATCAAAAATGGTTGAGGTTTGAAAGTAAATCAGGGTGTTTAGGTGAGTAAAATTCATTTCATGAAAACCGTCATTCACTCGATTATTATTAGTTTAAGAAAACTATAGAGAAATCGATTTTAACATTTAAAAATTTTCAATCATATTAAATTGCCACACCAGATTTTGCTACATACAAGTGTTTCCTTAGGACTTAAAGGGAAGACTGAATCAGTATGGGACTGGTTGAATAAATCATGGTAATCCAGGAGGCCAGCCCCACGGCCAAGGGCTTGAGTTTGCATGCTCGGCTTCCGCAGCCCAGGGTTTCGGCGGTTCAGATTCAGGGCACAGACACGGCACCACTCATCAGGCCATGCTGAGGTGGCGTCCCACATAGCACAAACATAAAGACCTACAACTAGAATACACAACTATGTACTGGGGGGCTTTGGGGAGAAGAAGCAGGGAAAAAAAAAAAGAAGATTAGCACAGATGTTAGCCCAGGGCCAATCTTTAAAAAAAAAAAAGGTAATCTACACAATCCATACTATGCAGCTGCTTAAAGGAATGAAGATCTCTAAAAGCTGATCTCCAGAATATATCATTAAGAGAAAAATGCAGTGCAACATAATGTTCATAGTATACTACCTTTGCAGTAAAAAATGGAGTAAAAAAATGTATAATACATACTATATATTAAATATAATTTAAATATTAATAAATATTAAATATATAATTAAAATATTATATATTAATAATTAATATATACATTTTCCCCCAGAAAGAATATTGAAGGATAAACTGAAAATCTTAGTATATATTCCACACTGTATTTTGGTGGTACGCCTTAGTTGGATATATACTAAGGACAAAAGATCCACAAAGAAAACATATCACATTTAGGCATTAATACTGATATTCTAACTTTGAAAGTGTCATATATATAAGAAGAAGAATGGAAAAAGTAACTGTTGTTACTATGATTGGAAACCAAGATTTTCCATAGTAATAATGTACAAGTATAAATCAGAGTAGCTAAATTAAAAAAAAAAAACCACATTTCAGTTGGAATCATGGGTACAAACTCATGATTTATTTTTATCTATCTTAAAAATATGTATTTCCTAGCTCTGTTCAGTGAGAATGCCTAAAACAATGATAATCCAATAGCAATGAACCCCTAACAACTCAGTTTGTTGTTTCCAAATACTATTTCTCATTTTAAAAAAAACAGAGTTCCTTGGAGAAATGGCTGGTTCCATGTTTAGGAAAGGATATGTACAAAATGAGCCTGGCACACCTTGCGTCAGAAACCAAAAAAATTATCAAAGACTAATGGGCACACTAATGGATCAATCTGAGCATCAAAATGAATAATGACTGTAATTCACTGAAACATATCAAACACAGAAATAGCCCTTAGCTCATAATGACTCTTTAAAAAAAAACCCTTCACCGATCGCCAATGGGAGGTGCTAGAGCAACTCATTACCCTGAAAACTGACAAATAAAGAGGGAAAAAAAAAAATCAATCATTAAGGATTTCCTGATTTCAAGTAACCAATTAGTTAAGAAGCGAAAGTTCCTCATTAAAGAAGAATTACAGCTAATAAACACAGAAGGAATGATATAATTAGAAAAATCACCAAAGTACACCTACTGAAATAATGGATCTAGACAATGATCATAAGTGGATACTAAAATCATTAGGTGATGTGAATAGGGAACTTGTAACGGATGGATCAAGCAGATAACAACTATACCCACTTAGCATCACCAAAAGTGGGACATTATGGACATTATTTGCCTACTGATGAAACAGGAAATACAAGCAACCAACTACAAAGTGTCCTTGAAAAAATACATACACACATAAATAAACCTGAATCTAATCAAATGTCTAGCCGCAACTTCCAGTTAACAGGAAATATGGGGGCTAGTGCAACAGTAAAATGAAATCATGAAGAAGCAATCGGCCAAATGGACAATGTGGTACATTATGCAGAATAAAGAACCCAGTTTCTTCAATACAAAAGTGCCATGAAGAAAAGAGAGAGGAGAGATATTACACATTCTTGAAAGAGACTTAAGATATATAACATCCGAATGCTATGTGCGGATCCTGTTTGGATATTATGTGAACAAACCAACTGTAGAAATACATTTTTGAGACAACCAGACAAAACTGAATATGGACTGGGTTTTGGGTCATATTAAGGAATTACTATTAATTTTATTAGACATAATAAAGGCATTGAGATTATGGTTTTTTTCTTTCAAGTCCTTTCCCACATCAAAGACGCATACTGCAGCATATTTACAGGCTAAAAAAAAAGTGGAATATTTGAAACAAAAGCCTGGTGGGGCCAGCCTGGTGGCATAGTGGTTAAGTTTGTGTGCTCTGCTTCCACAGTCCAGGGTTTGCAGGTTTGGATCCCAGGCGCAGACATACACAGTGCTCATCAAGCAATGCTGTGGCAGCATTCCACATACAAAATAGAGGAAGACTGGCACAGATGTTAGCTCAGTGACAATCTTCCTCAAGCAAAAAGAGGAAGATTGGCAACAGATGTTAGCTCATGGCCCATCTTCCTCAGCCCAAAAAAAAAAAGAAAGAAAGAAGACTGGCAAAATGTTGATAATTGGCTGACAAACATATGGTAGGTTATTATACTATTCTCTCCCTACTTTTACACTTGAAAATTTTAACACACAAATTAAAGATTAACAAAGTTGTAAGTAAAGAGGATAAAGAACTACATAACCAGAAATACTAGATTCAAAGTCTGTATGTGCTGTTCACTACAGGTATGTTCTTTGCAAAGTGACTGAAGATGATGCCTTTTCTCTCTTAAAATAGGAATGCCAGCTACCTAACAGAGACGTGAAGAGTATCTTACCTCATCTTCCATCGAGTACATGTAAAACTCTCAAACATATCATGACAAATAGTAGGTAACTTACATATTATTTTCCACTCTTAGCTCAATCAGAAACATAATCAAGTCCCAAAAATCAAGAGAAATTACAGCAGGAAAATTTTTTTAATAGAACACTTGGAAATAATGAGAAAGAAAATATTATCACAGAAGCAAATACACAAAATTAAAGTTTGTATTTGGTTAATTATTCTGGAAAAACACTCTCAGGAATATTTTTTGTTAAAAGTATCTTCACAAAAAGCACTGCATCTATTTCTAGTAAAATAAACACCACCAATATCTCTACTCGCTCCTGAAACCCACTAAGCTAATAGTAAAGAAATAAAAGTTAGAAACCCACAGGAACAGAGAAAGGGAGAAGCAAAACCAACAAAATTTTGGAAAACACTGCACAGATGACTGGTAATGGACTGAGCAGAATAGAGAAAGCTGAAACTAAATATCTACATAGGAAAAAGGCAATCAGAAACAAAGACTAGGAATCAGGATAGCCTGAGATTTCTGAAGAGAAGTGTGAGAAGCTAGAAGGCCATGAAATAAGGCCTTCAAAATTCCAAGTGAAAGTAATTTCCAACCTAGAAATTTGTACACAGGCAAACTATCAATTAATCATGCAAGGTCTCAAAAACTTACTTCCCAGGCACCCTTTCTCAGGAAGCTACTGGAGGATATGCTCTATAAAACAAGAAGCAAATGGAGAATAGAAAATCATGGAATCCAGGAAATAAAGTCTCTAACACAGGAGATAACAAAGAGACTCTTCTAGGACAATGGCCCTGCAAGCCATAGTGCAATCAGTATCAAATGGAGCAGAAAATGAAATCCAGATGGGACACTGCCAAGAGAAGGGAAAAGTATTAATTGATAGATTGCCTGATTATATTGTGAGGAGTTTAGTTCTTTTGGAGAGTCTGGAGATGAATTATTGATAAGGAGATAGAAAACTAAGCGAACAAAAAAAGAAAATCATTAATTCCAGGAAAAAATACAAAAAGTTGTAAGAGAAATGAGACGCAATCATCATTTACTACATGGATTGGTTGAGATTTAAAGTCATAACAACATAAACACTGGATATTGCTTTAACCAAAAATTATAACTATACTAGGAAGAGGTACATGGAATATATGTAGGAGAGAAGAAAAGTGCCAAATTCTCATTTTCCACAGTAGAAAGTTAGTAAAGTCTAAAATTGAAAAAGAAGAAACAGCTGTATAAGCAAGGCTATTTAATAATATGGAGGAAATTACCAAAGGAAATAACCAAGAGAATTAAAAATAGTATTCTCTGCAGGATAGAAATTTAGGATGGGGCAAGAGGCTACTGTTTTGCTTATAATCTTAGTGGTCTCACTGGTTTTTTACTCTATCATTTGAAAATTAACTATTAAATTAAAAAGCACTTATCAAAAAAGAGTTCTATAAGAAAAAAACGAATTACAAGTGTTAACTGAATATTTTGTCACTAAGAAGTACTAACTTGCAAATTTGTCTAAAACTACTAGAGGTCTATTGCAAGGAAAGATGCAAAAAAATAAATACCCCCTCCCCTAAATAAAAACAATTTTGGTAGCCAGCCTCCAAGATGATACCAATAATCCTCACCTCCTGGCATTCATGCGCTCATGTAACCTTGAGTGAAGATCAGCTGTTTGTGTGACCAAC